GGGGAGCGGTACCCGGAGCGTCCCCGAGATGTGGCGGGGAGGTGTGGGACCCGGGGCCGGGGGAAGTGGCGGTACTTCCTTACATTATACAGAACCGCGGGCGCTTCGCGCGCGCTTGGGTTCTAGCGCATGCCATGGCGCTATTAGCTGCGCGTGCTTTTCGGACAGGCCCATTCCATGCCTTGCCTTACCTCGCCCTCCAATATTCCTTATACGTCCTTCCTCGTTTACCCTCCAGACTCTCTCGGTTGTCCTCGCTTTTCGCTTCTCGTTCTTATCGACGGCCTCCTCTTGCTTGAGATTATGCGGGGGCTTCGAGCTGTTCAGGGCCGGCGTGGGAAGATATTCAATATGAAGTGGGCTGGCTTGAAATGTACGGGTCTCTTGTGGATCTTCCTGTTTGGGCTGTCTTGAAGGCCTTGGGCCCCGCTTGGGCCACTCTTGGGTTCTTCTTCGAAGTTGTGGGGCCGTCTCGAGCCTCGGCGCCATGTGAAGCTCTCCCGAAGCCATCCGAAGGAGACGAGCGTGAGAATTACTGAATATGGAGAAACCTGAATGGCTTTTGCGTTTGTGGCTCTCTGGGGTCATTTGGGAGGGCCTTTGGGAGTTCCACTGGGGCATCTTGTGGCCCCTGGGGGCCGCCTTGGAACATCTTGGAGCGTCTTCTAAGGGGCCATCTTGGCGGCCAGCGGGCGTCCTCCTGAACCAGCTCGGAACCCTCTTCAGGCCTGACGGGATCCTGGAGCCAAGGGGGGGCAACGTGGGTTGCGACGGGGGAGTTTGGGAAAGTGGGCAGCCCCAAGGCCACCCCAGGTCCCCTCCCCCATGGGCGGTCCCGTCGTCTTCTTCCGTCGTCCGACGTCCGTCGTCCGTCCGCCCGCCATGTTGTTTCTCTATGATAGCTCTCCCGCGGGCATCTTCTCTCGCTTGCTCTCGCTTGCTCTAAGCAGAAAGTGCCTGGGATGCAGCGGCCAGCGCTGTACATGAGCTGCTACCTTGGGGTGCAGCTCGCTGGATACTGCTGCGTGAAAGGCGCTGCTACCTTGTGCTGCAGCGATCCATGCAATTAAGTACCCCAACATCACTCGTCCTACACCGCACTTGAACGAGAGATGGACATGCTTGGTTCGCGCATGAATTTCTGTCCTGAGTCCTGAACGGATGAGCATCTAACCCAAATCCAAAATTCCCGGATACCTTGGGGCCTTCGGAGACTCTACGAAACCGTTAAGAAAACGGGAGGCGCGGCACCGGCCAGATGTCAGGGGATGTGTAGGACCCCCGAGTAGGAGTTCCACTTTGATTTTTAAAAAGGAATTATTGGACATCCCTCTCTTTTTCCCCCCAAATTCTCGATCTTTGAGGGTTGGAAGTGGGAAAACGTGAAAGGCGAAAAGCATTGGAAAAAACAACTGGAAATCAACGATTTGACCCTCTTTGGGCTCTCTCGGGACGGCTCTCGCAGCTCTCTTGGGCTGTTCTTGAAGCCTCGTCGCGGTATCTTTGGGGCCTCTCAGGGATCGGGGGTGTGTTGGGGGCCTCTGGGTGGTCCCGGAGGTCTCTGGAAGTCTCCTGCTCCCGCTCTTGGGCCCATCTTGGGCCTGTTCTGGGATGGTCTGAGGCTGTGCTGGGCGCCTCTTCGGCAGTCTTGGAGCCTCCTTCTTGGCCCGTCTTGGGGCCGTCCTGAGGGTCTCTTGGGTGGTCTTGCGGCGGTCTTGGGAGGCTCTTCGGCGCTCTTGGACCGTTGGACGCTCGAAAACGCGAGAAGCCAAAAACATCGAAACAACTTTGATTATCTACGACTTTGGCCTCTTCGGTCCCGTGACACCTATCAGACCTCTCTTGGGGTCTCTTGGAGGCCACCTGGGAGCCTCGAGAGCCGTCGGAAGGCTGACTTGGGCTGCTTGGGAGCGTCTTGGGCCATCCTTTCGCATTCTGGGAGCTCCTGGGGGGCGTCTTGGGCCCTCCTGGAGCGCTGTGGAGGTTCCCCGGAAAGGCCAGGGGAGCGGTACCAGGAGCGTCCCCGAGATGTGGCGGGGAGGTTTGAGACCCGGGGCCGGGGGGGAAGCGCTTCGCGCGCGCTTAGGTTCTAGCGTGTCACAGACACAGGAATCGCTGTGCGAAAAAATGCTTGGAGTTTGTCTCGGGCAAGTGAGGACTCCAGTGGCAACACCTGCTTGAGGCACTGCCGGGGACGGACCCTGTGTAGAGTGTGGAAAGTCGGAGCAGCTCTCTGGTCGACCCTCTTGGGCGCGCCCTGGGGCTCTCTTGGGCCGTTTTGGGGGGCCCATTGGGGAGCTGTTTCGGAGCCTCTTTTGGTGTTTTTTCAAATCTCTTAGAGGCCTCTTGGGGCCTCTTGGGCGCTTCTTGGAGCCTCTTGGGGTCTCCTGGGGGCCCTCTTGGGCCAAATGGCCCGCTCCTCGTCCCCGTCTTGGGCGCCGACTCGGGGCGTTCTTGGGCGGTTTAGGCGTCTCGGGGGCCGTCTTGGCCCCCTCGTGGGCCGTCTTGGAGCCGTCTTGGGGGCATCCTCGACTGGCTTGCGAGCCTCTTGGACCGTCTTGGACGCAGTGGAAGCCCAAAAGGCGAACACGCCAAAAATATCAGTTTCCCTATAGGAAATCGATGATGTTGACTTATTGGGGCCCTATTGGGGTGCCCCTTGGGGCGTGTTCGGGGCCTCTTCTTGTGTATTTGCTGGTCTCTTGGGGACCTCATTGGGCTTCTTGGGCGCTTCTTGGAGCCTCTTGGTCTCCTGGGGGCATCTTGGACCAAAAGGCGCGAATTTCCAGTTCCTTGTCCCCTTGGGCGCCGCCTTGGGGCGTTCTTGGACGGTCTGGGCGCCTCGTGGGTCGTCTTGGCCCCCTCATGGGCCGTCTTGGGGCTCTCTTGGAGGCATCCTCGACCGGCTTGGGTGCCTCTTGGGCCGTCTTGGACGCAGTGGAAGCCCAAAAGGCGAACACGCCAAAAATGTCAGTTTTCCCGTCGGAAATATAAGATTGTTGCTTAGTGGGGCTCTCGCGGGGTGCCTCTTGGGGCGTCTTCGGGACCTTCGGGAGCCTTCTTGGCGTCATGGGGGTCGTCGTGAAAGGCGGCTGGAGCCAACGCTGCGGCCTCCTGGGGCCTCTTTGAATATGGTTGTGCACCTTTGGGACCCCTCTGGGGTTCGTCTTGGGGCTTTCCTGGGCTGTCTTGGGGGCCTCTCGGGCCGTCTTGGGACCGTTTTGGGGTCGTCTTGGAGCCCTCTTGGGAGTCTGTGGGGCAGTCTTTGGGACCTCTTGGGCGTCTTGGACGCAGTGGAAGCCCCAAAGGCGAACACGCCAAAAATGTAAGTTTTCCCATAGGAAATCTAAGACTTGTGCTTATCTGGGCTCTCTCGGGGTGCCTCTTGGGGTGTCTTCGGGGCCTTCGGGGGCCTTCTTGGGGTCACGGGAATCGTCTTGAAAGGCGTCTGGAGCCATCGCTGCGACCTCCTGGGGCCTCCCTGCAGCCTCTTGGGGCCCTGTTGGCCCAGGGTCGCCAAAACCCCAAAAAAAACAAAAACAAAAAACGACGCCCTGGCCCCACATTTGTAGTCGTGGTCGTGGCCCCCGGCCCCCGGACCCGGTCCCCCGTTATGTGTGTGTGTATATATATATATATATATATATATATATATATATACACACATTCCACAACAGGTCCTGGGGTTGATGTTGTACTCTCGGGGCCCGGAAACATGCCCCTTGGAGCCGAAAAGTGCGAAAAGCCTTCTCGAATTTTGAACCCGAATCTCGACCAAGAACCTACGAACACTTTCAAGAAAAACCGACGACGACGACGCCCACGATAACGACGACGACGACGACGACGACGACGGCAAAGGGCAAGGCGTGGATCCTCGCCCCCCCGAAGCAAATATTCCCGGAGGCCCCTCCGGGAACATCTCCCGGAACCGCCCGGGCAAGAGAGGTTTGCGCGACGGCGTCTGCGTAGCGCGGCGCTCGTGCTGGGGCCTCTTAGGGTTTTTGTTGGGGGCCTCTTGGGGACCTCCTCGGGGCCTCTGGGGGGCCTCCCGGGCAGTTTTGGGGCGCTCTTGAGGACCTGTTGGGCCTTGTTGGGGCGTCGGAAAGAAGAAAAGGCGATCAAAACCAAAAACACAGAAAACAATGAGAAATCATAGATTTTAACCTCTCGGGGCTCTCTTGGAACGCTTGTATGAAGCCTGTTGGGGCGGCTTCGGGGCTTCTTGGGCTGTCTTCGGGGCCTCTTGAGGCTTTCTGGACCATCTGTACGGCCCGCGTGGCCTGTCGCGGGGAATTTGGAAGCGGCCCGGGGCAGTCCCGGGGGGTCTGTGACACCCCAAAGGTCCCGGGGGCGCCCATGGGGGAGGGTGGCACTGGCTTGGCCCCCACCCAGCCAACTCCGATGTATATATATATATATATATAAAGATAAAATTATGTTCCGTCTCCACCCCATTTTGTGCGCTCCGCCAGGGAGCTTGTCTAAGCCAGGAGCCCAGCGGGCTAAGAAGGGCTAGCGAGCAAGGCTAGCTTGCAATCTGGGACAGCACGATCACCGACGAGCAAGCCCAACGGCAACAGAGCTAGCTAGCCTGCACTCGTGACCCCCTTTCTAAGCTCTCCTACCAAAACCTCGCGCGCAGGCAGGCACGGCCACGCGCGAGAAAGCTATGCTGCCCCCTGTCTGTGGGTGGGCCAACACAGCTACGGAAGATGGACGCTGAGCTTCCATCACCGGCGTCGCGCACGCTTAGGTGGACTCCGCATAGGCCCCCTTGGAAGGATACTATATACTCCGTCTACACCTTTTTTGTGCGCTCCGCCAGGGAGCTTGTCTAAGCCAGGAGCCCAGTGGGCTAAGAAGGGCTAGCGAACTAGGCTAGCTTGCACTCTGGGACCCGCCTCCACTTGACCGCCGGCCGAGATGAGCACGCACTCATCACGATCACCGACGAGCAAGCACAACGGCAACAGAGCTAGCTAGCCTGCACTCGTAACCCCCTGGCTGAGCTGCGTGGCCTCGGCGACGGCGTCTTGGACGTAAAGGCGGGCCGTCCTCGCCGAGGTCCACCCGCCTCGGAACAACGTCTGCTCCATCGAGCCGTGGCTGCGGACATCGGCGGAAGCACCGCCCCGCCTCCAGCTGCGCAAGGTCAGCTTGGCGTCTTGCAGCTCTAGCAGCTCGCGCACCTGGCCGAATATGCGCATGAAGCTACTCGGCTCCATCCCGATGCACAGGTCACTCTGTCGTGCATTGGCCTTGGTTTTGGCCAGGAGCGCGACTGCCGCTGCGCTCCGCACGAGCACGAACTCGCGGGCGCCCGTCTGTTGCTGGCTCTTGGTGTTGCGCAGCTGCAGCACTGCCTTGCGCCGGGCTAGGTACAGCTGCACGTCGGACCACGCGAGCGAAGTCATCTCGCCCGTCCGAAGGAGCGCGTCAAAACCTGCCGCGAGCGTCGCCGCCGCGCCAAGCTGGCCCACGGTCTGCAAACGCCCCCGCGAACGCTGCGGCAATCAGCGGCCCGATCGGCAGCGCCCGGCCAGCCAGCTCCAGACGCTGCCACGTTTTGGCGAGGCGCCAGCTCTCCTCGAGGTGCCCTCGCACCGGCGGGAACTCGCGAGCGACGCCGGCAATTGCATTGTTAACCTCGAACAGGGAGCCGACATTCAGCCACCGGCTCTCGATGAAGGCGGACGCCCCAGCGTCAACCTGGGCCGGGGTTCGAGGATTGTTCTCTTCCTTGATCCAGAAGTCGACGACCTCATCGACTGCTGCCCGGTACCGCTGCAGGGTGAGGGGCGTGACCATCGCCTCCCGCAGGGGCATGGCCCTCGCCGCAGCACGCCTCGCCACTGACTTGGCTGCTGCCCGCTTCACCCTTGCCGCTGCCGAAGCTCCACCGCGACGGCGCGTCCGCGGGCACGTCGTCCGCGTCGCAGTAGCCGTAGAGCGGGTAGCCAGCCGCCGCGAGGAGCAGGGAGTTGAGCCTGCGGAGGGCGGGCTGGAGCGCCCGCGCGCTCGACCTACCCTTGGTGCTGACGGCAGCGATCGCTTGGGCATCGAGAATGCGCAGGCACCTGCAGCGGTGGCCCTCGACCGCCCTGCACCTCCAGCGCGCGCCTGCAACTGCGGCCTCCACCTCCAGCGCCGAGATGCGAGCCGCGCGCTGCCAGCGAAAGGCCTCGGCGATCCGCCAGGCCCAGAGGTGCGGGGGGCAGCCCGCGGCCGCGCCCGGGCGCGGCGCGGCGCACCCGTGCCCAGCCGGACGTCGGTGCCTCCGCGGTCGGCCAGAACTCCACGATGAGGCTGCGCTCCAGCTGGGGGGCGCGATGCCCTAACTGCTGGGAGTCGGGGGCGACGTTCCAGTTCGCCTCGCAGGCGCCCACGGCAAGGCAGCTCTGCCCCGGCATAGCCGCCGCAAGCGCTCCCACTTGAGCCAGCCACGAGCCGAGAAGATACGCGACGACCTGGACGCAGAACGCGTTCCCAATCAGGGACTCGACGATAGCGTCGCGCTCTGATGGGGCGGAACTATCTTGTGCAGCGGCCTGGAAATAGAGGCGGTCGAACCCCATCGGCGCCCCGCGCTCCTCTGGCACAGGCAGCCGGCCCCGCTCACGCTGCGCGTCCCAGAAAAGACTGCCTTCCTCGTAGCTGTTGACCTGGTAGCGGTAGCCGTCTGCTGCCCGCAGCTGCGCCGCCGCCGGGGAGACCCACTCAAGCCCCGCGGGCCAGAGCGGCGGGCGCTTCCCTGGGATCGGCCGCGCGAAGCACAGCAGGTCCGCCTCGGGGCCCAGCAGCGACCAGGCCTCAAGGAGGGATGCTGCCAGCGGCAGCCGCTCCACCGCAAGCGTGACCTTGAAGCGGGCCGCTGCACCCTCGCCCTTGGCTTCGACCGCGGCGCCCGAGGCGAGGAAAGACACGACCGGCCACGGGCGCCAGCACAGCCGCGGCCGCCTGACGTGGGCGAGGGACTTGGCGTCCAGGAAGACCGGCGCCACTCCCAGCGCCCGTGGGAACTCTGCCCGCGACTGGAGGGTCATGCTGAACACGTTCTCGACGAGCCACATGGTGTGCTTGGGGAAGGCGGCCTCCGCCGCCTCGATCAGCTCCGGGACGCGGTAGAAGAGCTTCGACCGCGGGCCTGAAAGGCCAGCGCCCACCGCGCTGACGCCCGCGAGGTCCTGGCAGGGGCTTCCCGCGGTCAAGGCTACCTAGTCTGCGTCCCTCGCGCACCCGGTCAGCATCTCGGTGAATGGCTCGGCGTCGACGGCCTGTTCCCCAGCTCGATGACGCCAGCCCAGCGCCGCCGTACCAGCCAGCGAGCCGCGGGGTCAACCTCACAGCTGACGTGGGCAACCACAGTGACGGGCAGCCTGGCAGCGGCCACCGCAGCGCCTGCCTGCTGCCCCCGCGAACAACTCAACGAGGACGATGCGGGGCTGCCAGCGGGCCCCCTGCACGGGCTCCGAGATGGCACCCGGCCGCAGCGTCACTGCCGACGCCTCGCCCTTGGCACAGGCGACGCCCTGCTCGCTGAGCTCGACCGTGTAGCACATGCCCCCGGCGTGCTCGCTGGCGTCCGTCGCGATCACGCACGCGTCGACGCGGGCGCGCAGTTCGGTGAAGGCGAGCGGCAGCGCGAGGGCAAACCCCAAGAGTTCGTCGCACATGCCCAGCGGGACGGGCTGCGGCCGAGCCCAGCGGCCAGCCGCCCACGCGCTGTTGAGGAAGCCCATGAACGGCCGCCTGAACTCCGCTGCCCTGACACACCAGCCCAACACCATGAGCATCGCCTGGGACGACAGCGCCGGTTGGCCGATGGCCCACAGGATGAACCCCACGAGCAGGAACAGCTTCTGTGGTGACGCCGACGCGCCCGACGGCCCCGTCGAGCCCAGCGCCCATCCTCTCGAGAACCAACGCACGGTGATCGGCCCTGTCGGGGGCCACATTGATCCCTGAACGGTGGTAGGCGGCCCTCTGCCCCAGCTGCGCGCGGCTGACCGCGCCGATCAGCTCCTCGACCAAAGAGCTGGGCGCTACCTCGCCGTGGTCCCAGTCGTCGACGTAGTGCTGGGCCCACTGCTGCTCGAGCTCCTTCGACTTGAACGGGGCGGCCGGCCCTTGCGCCACTCCAGGCTGGGGGGGAAGCCAGCCGCGAGAGGGCGCGCGCCGAACCCCAGGCGCCGGTGGCAGTGCTGGAACACCGTGACTGCGTTGATCCAGCCCATCGGGATGACCCGCAGCGCCAAGTGGGTTTTGCCTGGGCCGGACACGCCGACGAGCTCGTTCGGGATGGCCTCCGCGAGGGTCACGAACGGCTGCCAGGCGGCCGGCAGCTCGCAGCAGTAGAACGCCGACGCCTGGTCGTCCGACGACCACAGCAGCATGTGGCCATTCGGGAGCGGAATGGCCACCCACGACGGCGAGGCGCTGAGAGCGCCGACGTCATATTTCATGATGCGCTGGAAGCTGCTCGCCAGAACCATGTTGATGGTGGGCCGCTGGGCGCGCGCCTGGCCCGGCAAAGGCGCCCCACCTTTGGCGACGCCAAAGGCCCCTGCCAGCAACTTCCGGTTCCGGACCTTGAAGACGCGGCCCTCGGCGATCGCGGCGTCGCGAGTCCGAGCTCGACCAGCTTTGGCCCCGATCTTGTACCACTCCTGCCTGGTCTCGACCTGGGCCGCCGCTCGCGGGGCCTCTTGCGGCCATTCGGCCCTGGGGAAGAGGGCCAGCGCTGGGTCGGCCAGCCAAGCGCCCACCCGCGAGCCCGCGATGTCGAGCGCCTTGACCGAGGCTGCGACCCCGCGCCCAGGGAGGCCCGGCAATATTCCAGCAAGCGATAGGGGGAGCGCCCGTGATGTCTCGTCCCCGCCGTAGGAGATGCTCTTCGCCGCGATGACCTCGCTCCAGTCGGGGAGCTCGAACGACGGGGCGGCGCCCCCGGCGAAGCACGCGCAGGCGCGGCCCACGATGTCTAGTGCACTGGCCAGCCCTGCAGTGGGCCAACGCGGGTGCGCCGTCGGACACCGCATGCGCCCCGTGTACTGGCAGTTCAGGCTGAAGACGACAAGCTGCGCCCAGCCCTGGGCAACTGCCCCCTCCAGCTCGCTCTCGGCCAGCTGCTGGCCCTGGCACCAGGCGGCGCAGTGCTTCTCGAAGAGCGGGGCGTCGGGCACCGGCAGCGGCAACACCTCGCGCAGCCGCGCGAAGCTCGCCGTGGAGTCTGGCGGAACGCACGTCTTCCTGACAAACCGCCCGATCGCCCCTGGAGCACCGCGGATCGCCTCGTGGACGGCCAGCGGGATCTTGAACTTGGAGCTCGGACCGGTGCTCACCTCGCTCAACATCTGCCGCCAGCGCCGGACCTGCGAACTGCCTCGCAAGCGCCGCTCGGGCCCGCCTGCTGCGGGCTAGGGCGCGAGGTGGCCGGGCTGCCCCGCCTGGCCTCCCGGGGGAGGCCTCAAGCAGGGGCCCAGGGCGCCCGTGGCCTGGCGCCCCTGTGGAGCCCCTTGCCTTGCCTGCCCTTGCTCTGCTCCTTGGTGGTCGTCCCAGCACCTCGAGGGTGGAGCATGCGAGCCTTCCGCGCCATTCGGGCCTCGCCCTCGCGCCGCGGCTCGGCGCGCCTCAGGTCGCCCCAGCTCCGCCCAGAGCCCACCGCCGCCCCCGCAGGCCGTTCGCTAAGGTCCGAGGCCGAGCCCCCGTCGGAATCGCTCGCCAGCCAGACGTCGCGCGCTGGACTCCGGCTCGGTGGAGGGGGCCCCTCGGCTGGGGCCGTTGGCCCGCCGCTCGGGACTCGGCCCGCCATGGTCCGCGTCGCATCCGCCGAGCCCGCCACCGGCGCCCCAACTGTCAGGGTCGGGGCCGCGCTTCCGCGCGGCCACGGCCTGCAGGAGCCGCCCCCCCCCCTCCCTGGGGGCGGCCCCCGGCTTGACCTCTATCCCGACCGCCGCTCGGCCAGCCGCTGCCGCAGCTCGGCGACCTTCAGCTCGCGGGCCTCGACCTTCTGGGCGGCGGTCTCCTCGCGCAACGCGGCCCCCGACGGCAACTGCTCCTGCGGCGTCAGCGTGAGCCGCCGGGCCGTCCGCCAGTTGCCGTCGCGCACCGCCATCGCCCTCGCCTTGAAGTCCTGCATCAGCAAGTCCGCGGTCTCGACGACCTCGTCGCGCAGGATGCCGTCGAGAGCCTGGCCCGGCGCGCGCAAGGCCCGCACCTCGTCCGCCCCGAGCGTCCGAAGCGGGCGGGCGACGAAGAAGACCGTGTTCAGGTACTGGGCGACGCACGGCGCGAGGGGGTCGCCCTCGGAACCCGCGAGCAGCTGGGTGAACTGCCCGCGCAGGTGGCCCAGCCCGTTCTCGAGCAGCGCCCCCGGCCGCTGCCGCGCGATCTTGCGGAACAGGTCGCGCTTGATGCCAATGCCCTGTCGCCGCTCGAGGTTGCCGCCGCGCTCCGAGCCGCTCTCCAGGCCGTCGCCCACCTCCCCACCGTCGCGACCCAAGAAAGCAGAGGCCAGCGCAGTCGCCAGCCTGCTCCGCGAGCCCGAGCCGGCTGCGCGGGCTGGCGCCGTGGCTGCAGCTCGCGCTGCCACCGCCTGGGCCAGCCGCTCGCCCACGCCGCCCCCAGGTCGAGCGGCGTTCTTGGGCGCCCCCTGCTTCGGCACGCCCCTCGCGGACTTGCCCCCTAGCCTCGCAAGATGGTGGTCCATCTCCGGGTCCTCCGCGATCTCCTCGAACCCGGCCAGCTCGTCGTCGAGAGGGCTCGCGCCGGCAGGCTTTGCAGGGGTCGCCGCGACGCCATCGCCTCGAACTCGCTTCCGAGGAGGCTCTGCGATGGGCTCGTCCTCCTCTTGACTGTTGCCGTCGAAGGGGGCGTCCTCGGGCCCAGCTGCGCCCACCGGCGGGCCGCCCTCGGCGGGCGCGGAAGCCATCACCAGGGCCCCCGGGGCTGCAGGAGGGCAGATCAGCTTCGCCTGCTCGCGCTCCACGTCCCGGCCGTCGAGGACCTGCCACACGTCGAAGTCGAAGTGCTCCACCTCCGCGCCCAAGGGAGCGACCGCCCCGCAGCGGCTGGCAGCACACACACACACAGGTGGAAGACTGTCGACGTCGCTCGAGCACCCCTGGCCTGCAGCACTCGCGCACCAGGCGAACAACGGGTCGCTGGCCCCGACGTGGAGTGCCTTGAAGAACCTGCCAAAGGCGTCCGGGAGGTACGGCACCTCCACCTGCAGCATCTCGACCCCTTGGGGGGCGCCGCTGTCGTCACGCACCCGTGCGAGCACCAGCGCGCCCGCGGGGAGCGGCAGGCCCGGCACCAGCTCACCGTTGAGCTCTGCGTCCAGCCACGCCCCGCGCGGGAAGGGCCAGCCGCCCGACGCTGGCGCCGCCCGCTCCATGCCGCAGGCAGCCGGGCGTGGCTCCGGCGACTGCGCCGGCGCGGGCGCACCGGACGCGGCAGGATCCAGTAGACAGAGTGGCTTGGCAAGGGCCTCGCGACGGGCGGCACCGCCCGGCAACTCCCCTGCCTACCTTCAGCCAACACAGCTACGGAAGATGGACGCTGAGCTTCCATCAACGGCGTCGCGAAAGCTTAGGTGGACTCAACATAGCCCCCCCGGGAATGATACTATCCATACATGTGTATATATATACACATATGTGCATGTACCTAGGTGTGCATAGATGTACATCTACATAACATATACATGTACATATACTTATGCATGTACATGAACATATTCATAAACATATACTATACATATACACACACTTACACATATACATATACGTATACGAATACATATTCATATACACATACATACACATATACAAACACATATACATACACACAAACATATACATATGCATATGCATACACATACACATGCACATGCACATGCACATGCACATGCTCATACAAACATACACACAACCATGCATACACACATGCAAACAAACATACAAAACCTACACACATACAACCATACAACAATCATACAAACATACAAACATACAAACGTATAAACATACAAACATACAAACATACATACATACATGCACACATGACTTGAGCCAAAATGGCTACGGAGCCTCGTCGGAGCTCTTGGGCTGTTCTTGGAGCCTCGTCGGGGTCTTTTTGGGGCCTCTCAAGGATTGGGGGTGCGTTGGGAGCCTCTGGGTGGTCCCAGAGGCCTCTCGGAAGTCTCTGGAAGCCTCCTGCTCCCGCTCTTGGGCCCATCTTGGGCCTGTTCTGGGGTGGTCTGGGGCTGTGCTGGGCGCCTCGTCGGCAGTCTTGCAGCCTTCTTGGCCCGTCTTGGGGCTACCCTGAGGGTCTCTTGGGTGGTCTTGGGGCGGTCGTGGGAGCCTCTTCGGCGCTCTTGGACAGTTGGACGCTCGAGAACGCGAGAAGCCAAACACATGGAAAAACACAAATGATAATCTATGATGTTTGCCTCTTCGGGCCGTCCCGGGACGCCTCTCGGACCTCTCTTGGGGTCTCTTGGAGGCTACCAGGGAGCCTCGAGAGCCTTCAGAAGGCTGACTTGGGCTGCTCGGGAGCGTCTTGGGCCATCCTTTCGCATTCTGGGGGCTCCTGTGAGGCGTCCTGGGCCCTCCTGGGGCGCTGTTGAAGCTCCCCAGACCTGGAGCGTCCCCGAGATGTGGAGGGGAGGTGTGGGACCCGGGGCCAGGGGGGCGGTATTTATTCAGATATGTATATATGTATATATACACATACACTAACAGAACAAAATACAAGGACAACCACAACAAACGCGCGCGCTTTTCGCGCGCGCTTAGGTTCTAGCGTGTCAAAGACACAGGAATCGCTGTCCGAAAAAATGTTTGGAGTTTGTCTCAGGCAAGTGAGGAATCTAGTTGCAACACCTGCTTGAGGCACCGCCGGGGACGGACCCTGTGTAGAGTGTGGAAAGTCGGATCAGCTCTCTGGTCGACCCTCTTGGGCGCGCCCTGGGGCTCTCTTGGGCCGTTTGGGGGGGCCCATTGGGGGGCTGTTTCGGGTCTCTTGGGGGCCTCTTGGGGCTTCTTGGGCGCTTCTTGCAGCCTCATGGGGTATCCTGGGGGCCTCTTGGGCCAAAACGCTCGAATCTTCTGTTCCTCGTCCCCGTCTTGGGCGCCGACTCGGGGCGTTCTTGGGCGGTTTGGGCGCCTCGGGGACCGTCTTGGCCCCCTCGTGGGCCGTCTTGGAGCCCTCTTGGGAGCATCCTCGACGGGCTTGGGTTCCTCTTGGGCCGTCTTGGACGAAGTGGAAGCCCAAAAAGCGAACACGCAAAAAAAGATCAGTTTCCCAATCGACAATCGACGTTTTTTGCTTATTTGAGGCTCTGTTGGGGTGCCCCTTGGGGCGTGTTCGGGGCCTCTTTTGGTGTTTTTGCGGGTCTCTTGGGTACCTCTTGGGGCTTCTTGGGCGCTTCTTGGAGCCTCTTGGGGTCTCCTGGGGGCCTCTTGGGCCAAATGGCTCGCATTTTCGGTTCCTCGTCCCCATCTTGGGCGCCGCCTTGGGGCGCTCTTGGGCGGTTTGGGCGCCTCGTGGGCCGTCTTGGTCCCCTCGTGGGCCGTCTTGGAGCCCTCTTGGGGGCATCCTCGACCGTCTTAGGTGCCTCTTGGGCCGTCTTGGACGCGGTGGAAGCCCAAAAGGAGAACACGCCAAAAATATAAGTTTCCCTATAGACAATCGCCGATGTTTGCTTATTTGAGGCTCTATCGGGGTGCCTCTTGGGGCGTCTTCGGGGCCTCTTTGGTGTTTTTTCGGATCTCATGGGGGCCTCTTGGGGCTTGTGGGCCCCTTCTTGGAGCCTCTTGGGGTCTCCTGGGGGCCTCTTGGGCCAAATGGCTCGCATTTTTGGTTCCTCGTCCCCGTCTTGGGCGCCGCCTTGGGGCGCTCTTGGGCGGTTTGGGCGCCTCATGGGCCGTCTTGGCCCCCTCGTGGGCCGTCCTGGGGCCCTCTTGGGGGCTTCCTCCACCGGCTTGGGTGCCTCTTGGGCCGTCTTGGACGCAGTGGAAGCCCAAAAGGCGAACACGCCAAAAATAACTGTTTCCCTATAGGAGATCGACGATTTTTGCTTATTGGGGCTCTCTCGGGGTGCCTCTTGGGGCGTCTTCGGGGCCTTCGGGGGCCTTCTTGGCGTCATGGGAGTCGTCTTGAAAGGCATCCGGAGCCATCGGTTTGCGTTTTCGAGCGTTCCGAAGCCATCTTCGGGCGATCTTGGACGGCCCCCGGCGCTCCGGCAGGGATCCCGGCGCGCCGGCCCCCCATTTGCGGTCGAGGCTGCGGCCCCAGGGCCCCTGGGCCCGGTCCCCCGTTATATGTATACTGGTCTTTCCGGATCATGGACAACCCTGCCAAGGCATCCTACGTGGGGTCCGAATAGATGGAGTTGGTTGATCGCGCCGCATTGCAGATGCATCGGTGACGTCAGCGGTGCTTCGGCGACATCGGCGCGGAAACATCGGCGGCTGCATTGCGATGCATCGCCAACGCATCAGCGATGTAGCGCGATAACTCCGACTGTATCTACTCAGATCCCATGTACGGAAGAAGAGAAACTACAGAAACATAAACCTTCGGAGGTTCGTGCATTGTTTTGTTAGATCGGCGCTGGAGCCCTGCCTTGTGCCACAGGACATTCTTAGAATCCATCCACCTCCCCCACCATCCTCGATGTCATCCTCGTCCTCCTCCTCCTCCTCCTCCTCCTTCTGACGTGGTGTGGTCGCCCTCACCGAGGGATCGCGGTTTGTCACCATGCAGCACCCGGGCAAGAGCCACAAACTGGATTGAGCCCCCCAGCCAGCAGCAGTCAGCAACAATGGCTAAGGCTCGCGGCAGGGGAACAAGATCATGTGCAATGCGAGGCTACAGTACCGCCTCGCGGAGATCTGCGCGACTGGCCTCCCCGAAAGGACCGGACTGGGGCCACGGAGTCACGCAGGCCACCAGCGCTGCGGCTGGCTCGAAGCAGTACAGCAGGGCGTCCCGCCCCACGAACGGCAGCACGTGTTCACGTCGTGCCAGGGCCGCTAGGATTGATAAAACCTGCATTCTGGGGCTCCGTGGGCCCTCTGAGAGGTTCTGCGGACCTCTGGGGGTATCTGCCGGAGAGGATTGCATGAATAATTAAGCGAGCACGGCGCAGATACAAGCTCATACAAGGAAGCACATGCATGTGCCCGTTTGAGCTAGCAGCGTGAGGTCGTGCCTCTTAAAATCTTCCGAACTTTACATTGGCTCGCGTGAAGATCTTCATGGTTGCAAGCCGGAAACTGAATGCTGAGGGGGTCCCACAAGCTGAGGAGGAAAAGAACTGAGAGGAGTGCGGAGTATGGGGGTTGTGTAGGGATGTGAGCTTGTTCCCCCTTGCCACCTCGCCCCCGCCACCCTCCCGCAGAAGAGCTACATGATAGAAGTACCGCATGGCACAGCCGCTGCAGGAGACAGGTGCTGCAGGGCCGGCGCCCTGGAGGAGGTGCGCCCCCGCCCGACTCCTCCCCGCCCCCAAAGGTCACACTTTTTTGATTCGCGGGTCGAGAGCGCACCTCTTCCGGTCGAAGCTAAGCGGGCCGCGCGAAGCTTGAGTTAACCGTCGAGGGGGAGGAAAGGGGGAGGGCGCAGCCTCAAGTTTTGCCCCCGAAGGTCACACGGAGAAGCTGTGCACGACAGCGCCCTCGTGGAGGGGACAGTCCATCGCGAGGTTGCAAGCAGCCAGCGGCTTGGGATCGCCGCGACCGCGGCGGCCACCCGCTGCGGCTCTCTTGGGCGCGCCCTGGGGCCCTCTTGGGCCGTTTTGGGGAGCCCATTGGGGGGCTGCTTCGGGGCCTCCTTTGGTGTCTTTGCGGGTCTCACTGGGGGCTTCTTGGGCGCTTCTTGGAGCCTCATGGGCCTCCCCTGGGGGGCCTCCTGGGCCAAAACGCTTGAATCTTCGGCTCCTCGTCCCCGTCTTGGGCGCCGACTCGGGGCGTTCTTGGGCGGTTTGGGCCCCCTCGTGGGCCGTCTTGGAGCCCTCTTGGGAGCATCCTCGACCAGCTTGGGTGCCTCTTGGGCCGTCTTGGACGCAGTGGAAGCCCAAAAAGCGAACACGGCAAAAATTATCAGTTTCCCGACGGAAGATCCACTGTTTTTGCTTATTTGGGCCTCGGTTGGGGTGCCCCTTGGGGCGTGTTCGGGGCCTCTTTCGGTGTTTTTGCGGGTCTCTTGGGTACCTCTTGGGGCTTCTTGGGCGCTTCTTGGAGCCTCTTGGGGTCTCCTGGGGGCCTCTTGGGCCAAATGGCTTGCATTTTCGGTTCCTCGTCCCCGTCTTGGGCGCCGCCTTGGGGCGCTCTTGGGCGGTTTGGGCGCCTCGTGGGCCGTCTTGGCCCCCTCGTGGGCCGTCTTGGAGCCCTCTTGGGGGCATCCTCGACCGTCTTAGGTGCCTCTTGGGCCGTCTTGTACGCAGTGGAAGCCCAAAAAGCGAACACTGCAAAAATATCAGTTTCCCCACAGACAAACGACGATTTTTGCTTATTTGGGGCTCTATTGGGGTGCCTCTTGGTGCGTCTTCGGGGCCTCTTTGGGTGTTTTTTCGGATCTCATGGGGGCCTCTTGGGGCTTGTGGGCCCCTTCTTGGAGCCTCTTGGGGTCTCCTAGGGGCCTCTTGGGCCAAAAGGCGCGATTTTCTGGTGTCTCGTCCCCGTCTTGGGGCGCTCTTGGGCGGTTTGGGCGCCTCATGGGCCGTCTTGGCCCCCTCGTGGGCCGTCTTGGGGCCCTCTTGGGGGCAGCCCTGGGGCCCTCTCGGGCCGTTTTGGGGAGCTCATTGGGGTGCTGCTTCGGGGCCTCCTTTGGTGTCTTTGCGGGTCTCCATGGGGGGCTCTCCTGGGGGCTTCTTGGGCGCTTCTTGGAGCCGCATGGGCCTCCCCTGGGGGGCCTCCTGGGCCAAAACGCTTGAATCTTCGGCTCCTCGTCCCCGTCTTGGGCGCCGACTCGGGGCGTTCTTGGGCGGTTTGGGCCCCCTCGTGGGCCGTCTTGGAGCCCTCTTGGGAGCATCCTCGACCGGCTTGGGTGCCTCTTGGGCCGTCTTGGACGCAGTGGAAGCCCAAAAAGCGAACACGCAAAAAAAGATCAGTTTCCCAAAGGAAAATCAAAGGTTTTTGCTTATTTGGGCCTCGGTTGGGGTGCCCCTTGGGGCGTGTTCGGGGCCTCTTTTGGTGTTTTTGCGGGTCTCTTGGGTACCTCTTGGGGCTTCTTGGGCGCTTCTTGGAGCCTCTTGGGCTTCCCCTGGGGGGCCTCCTGGGCCAAAACGTTCGAATCTTCGGTTCCTCGTCCCCGTCTTGGGCGCCGACTCGGGGCGTTCTTGGGCGGTTTGGGCTCCCTCGTGGGCCGTCTTGGAGCCCTCTTGGGAGCAACTTCGACCGGCTTGGGTGCCTCTTGGGCCGTCTTGGACGCAGTGGAAGCCCAAAAAGCCAACACGGCAAAAATACCAGTTTCCCGACGGAAGATCCACTGTTTTTGCTCATTTGGGCCTCTGTTGGGGTGCCCCTTGGGGCGTTTTCGGGGCCTCTTTCGGTGTTTTTGCGGGTCTCTTGGGTACCTCTTGGGGCTTCTTGGGCGCTTCTTGGAGCCTCTTGGGGTCTCCTGGGAGCCTCTTGGACCAAATGGCTCGCATTTTCGGTTCCTCGTCCCCGTCTTGGGCGCCGCCTTGGGGCATTCTTGGGCGGTTTGGGCGCCTCGTGGGCCGTCTTGGCCCCCTCGTGGGCCGTCTTGGAGCCCTCTTGGGGGCATCCTCGACCGTCTTAGGTGCCTCTTGGGCAGTCTTGGACGCAGTGGAAGCCCAAAAAGCGAACACGGCAAAAATATAAGTTTCCCTATAGACAATCGCCGATGTTTGCTTGTTTGGGGCTCTATCGGGGTGCCTCTTGGGGTCGAGGCTGCGGCCGAGGCTGCGGCCCCCCATTTGCGGTCGAGGCTGCGGCCCCGGGGCCCCCGGGCCCGGTCCCCCGTTATACATCGCGCGCGCTTCGCGCGCGCGCTCAGGTTCTAGCCCAGGCCGGGGGCGCGCAAGAAGATCTTGGACAGCGCTATGAAGCACAGGCGCGTGACATAGTCGTGCCTCATGAGGGCCTCTTGGGAACCTCTTGGGTCTTCGTGGGGGCATCTGAAGGGCTTCTGGGGGGTTCTCCGTGCTTTCTCAATTGGCTGTTGGAGCCCGGCGGCCCTGGCGGCGTCCCAGGAACGGTCTCAAGTTTTTGGACCGGAGGGCGCATGTAGACGTACATGAAGGTTTCTGGGGAAGCCTCTCAGAAGCCCGTTGGGGCCCTCTTGGGGGTCTCCTGGGGGCTTCCTGGGAACCTCGGGGGGCCTCTTGGAAGCCTCTTGGGGAGCCTCTGGAGGCCCTTTGGGGCCTGCCGCGGGCGTCTTGGGGGCCTCTTGGGGCCTCTTGGGGGTCTCTTAGGGGCCTCTTGGGGGCCTCCTGGGGCGGTGGGGCTGGAAGGTTCAGTTGGGTGTCCCGTCTTGGGCCTCTCTTGGGGCCCTTCAGGGACGCGTTTGGGCCGTCCTGGGCGCCTCTTGGACTGTCCTGGGCCCCTCTGGGGCCGTCTTGGGGCTCTCTTGTGGGCTTCGTGGGCCGTCTTGGGGCGGTCTAGGGAGAATCTGAGGTCGTGAAGGACTGTACGAAGGCCAAAACATCGAATATGGTAAAAATGTACGTTTTACGTGCTATTTTTGCTTCCCGGGGCCGTCTAGGGTGATCTCTTGGAGGGGTCTTCGAGCGTCTTGGAGGCGTCTGGGGCGGTTCCAGAAGCCTCTTGAGCCGCCGGAGACCGCTGGAGGTTGTCTTCAGGGTGGCTCTGGGCGGCCTGGGGCCGCCTGGACGGCCGCCTGGGCGCTCCGGGGGCCGACCTGGGGCCCGGCGGGGAGCGGGCTGGGCCCGACGTCCCCCATTTGCGGTCGAGGCTGCGGCCCCAGGGCCCCCGGGCCCGGTCCCCCGTTATATGTATACTGGTTTTTCCGGATCATGGACAACCCTGCCAAGGCATCCCGTCTGCTGATAGGCCTCCTACGTGGGGTCCGAATAGATGGAGTTGGTTGATCGCGCCGCATTGCAGATGCATCGGTGACGTCAGCGGTGCTTCGGCGACATCGGCGCGGAAACATCGGCGGCTGCATTGCGACGCATCGCCAACGCATCAGCGATGTGGCGCGATAGGTCCGACTGTATCTACTCAGATCCCATGTACGGAAGAAGAGAAACTACAGAAACATAAACCTTCGGAGGCTCGTGCATTGTTTTGTTAGATCGGCGCTGGAGCCCTGCCTTGTGCCACAGGACATTCTTAGAATCCATCCACCTCCCCCACCATCCTCGATGTCATCCTCCTCCTCCTGACGTGGCTTGTGGTCGCCCTCACCGAGGGATCGCGGCGTGTCGCCATGCAGCACCCGGGCAAGAGCCACCAACTGGATTGAGCCCCCCGGCCAGCAGCAGCCAGCAACAATGGCCAAGGCTCGCGGCAGGGGAACAAGATCATGTGCAATGCGAGGCTACAGTACCGCCTCGCGGAATTCTGCGCGACTGGCCTCCCCGCAAGGCCCGGAATGGCATGTGCCCGTTTGAGCTAGCAGCGTGAGGCCGTGCCTCTCAAGATCTTCCGAACTTTACATTGGCTCGCGTGAAGATCTTCATGGCTGCAAGCCGGAAGCGGAGGAGTGCGGAGGATGGGGTTGTGTAGGGATGTGTTGTTTCCCCTTGCCACCTCGCCCCCGCCACCCTCCCGCAGAAGAGCTACATGATAGAAACACCGCATGACACAGCCGCTGCAGGAGACAGGTGCTGCAGGGCCGGCGCCCTGGAGGAGGTGCGCCCCCGCCCGACTCCTCCCCGCCCCCGAAGGTCACACGGAGAAGCTGTGTAGGACAGCACCCTTGTGGAGGGGATAGCCCATTGCGATGTTAAAAGTAGCCAGCGGCTTGGGATCGCCGCGACCGCGGCGGCCACCCGCTGCGGCAGGGGTCGTTCCGCTGCCGCGGCCGCGGGCACCGCCTGCCGCCGCCCGCTTGGGCGGGAAGCACGGCGCGGGCACCTCCTCGACCGCCGGGCCGTGGTCCTGGAAAGCGGCCATCACCGGTCGCTTCACGCCCACTGCATCGAGAGCACGGACAAAAGGCAGATTCTCGGGGTCGCGGACGTGGTTGACCCGGCCGCTGGCCCACTTGACGACGTTGGCCACCAGGCCCTGGTCCGTTGAGATCGCCACCCTCATGGCGGTGCCGTGGGCCGACTTCACGAGCCGATCGGCGCTCGCGGGATCGACGAAATTGGCGAACCCATACCCGAGACTTGCACCAGTCTGAAAGTTCCTTGGGACGAACAGGTAGTCGCACCCCTCCATGCAACCATGGGAATCCATCCACTTCGTCAACTGGCTCCTGGTGCACTCCGCCGTCAGGTTCGAGAGGAAAAGGGTTACTTCTGTTGGACTTGCGTTCGCCACTGCCCAGATCCCGACGCGATCCGCCTCGCAGGTGTTGGCAACCATCCCTTGCGAGCCGAAGATTCTGGATGCTCAAGCTCAAACAGCCACGCTTGATCCAAACTGGCCACGGAACTCGAGTTCCCCATCTTGGGTCCCTCTTCGGGCCCTTTGGGGGCCCGTGTGGGCCGCCTTGGGTGCCTCCTGGGCCGTCTTTGAACCCTCTTGGGCAACCTTGGAGCCCTCATGTTTTTTTTTCGGGGGGGGCCCTTGGAGGCGTCTTGGGGAGGTCCACGGGGCCTCTTGGGCAGTTCTTTGTTGCCGTGAAGCCCCAGAAGCGGAAGATGCTAGAACTAAGCGCTTCCATTGAGGAATGGGAAAGCGTTTGCCTCTCTAGGCTCTCTTGGGTGTTGCATTGGAGCGCCATGTGGGCGTTTTCGAAGCATCTGGCGCCGTTCGAAACGCCTCGTTCGCCGTCTACGACTCTTGGAAGGCGTCTCGGGGGCGACAGGGGGCCGCCTTGCGCCGCCTTGACGACGGTTTGAGCGCTGTGGACCTGGGGCCCCCGAAAATTTGGCCAGGGACCCTCATTTGTGGTAGTGGTCGTGGCACCTGGACACCCATTCCCTCGTTGTGTATTTAGGAATATACACGTGTATACACATTGGTAAATGTATGATGGACATTAAAAGCGCCCCCCGCCATCCACATGAAAAACTTTAGACCCATGGGACCGTCGAGCGACGCGCGAACTGAGAGCGGAAACAGCATGACGGCCAGCCAACGACAACGCCGCGACATTCAATGCGAACGGCGCGCTGTTGCCATGCTCGTTGGCATTCGAAATTGGCGATTCCCTGTGTTGACACGCAAATCGAAGCCCAAAACCATTGTAGACATTCGCGCGTTCGTGCCAAAACAAAAACCAATGGACGCGTCGGCCCTGGCCGGCGCTGGCAACAGCCCCACGCGGCGCCCGGCCTCGTCGCCTCCCGTCGTGTGGGCCTGGGTGGCGGTCTGGCGGTTCCGTGCTCGCCGTCGCCACCCCGTCGCCGCCTAGACTGCTCAACATAAAAATTGCGCCACATTGATTCTTCTAGAAGAGAAGAAACTCCATCAACCCCACGGGATGATCGGTTCCCTTTCTTTGCATTGCAGTTCACATATAATTCTGCCCCATCGTCCACCGTATATATGAACTCGCACCATGCCAGGCAGGGTGGTATCGACACTCCCCCGTCATCGACTGCAACACAAACTATGCGCGCCCTCGTTTATCAAAAACCGGAAGTCATCAATCATCCCATGCAACAAATGGGACGAAGTGCGCACGCGCGCGTCGTCGCGCGCGCATGCCGAACTCCTTGACAAAACTTCGGTTTCGGAGCGATTTAAACATCGACTGTTCGGACAACATACAAAAACACATCGTTTCGCAACACTGATTTTCAGAAAAACGTACGCGCGCGCTCTTGCGAATTCGGAAGAAAACCATACATTCTTCATCGCGTTCAGAAAATGCTACCACACGGGCTTCGCGCGCGCATGTCGCAATCATTCGAACCCCCTTTGCGCGCGTGCCGTCGCGATAATCCTTTGCAAAAGTGGGACGAAGTGCACGCGCGCGCGTCGCGCGCGCATGCCGAGATCCTTCGAAAACCTTCAGTTGCGTAGCGATTCCAAAACCGAATGTCCAAAGCACATAAACAATCACATGGCTTCGCAACATCAGTCTTCAAAAAAACTTGCGCTCGCGCTTTTGCGCATTCTGAAGAAAGCCATGAGTTGTTCAACACGTGTTCTGCCGAACGGGCCTCTGGCGCCGCATGACGACATCATTCGCGCGCCCTTGCGCGCGTGCTGGCCCGCATGTTTCTATTTGGACGCGTGGGGGTCCGCGTCCAAATAGAAACATGCGGGCCACTCTCGCGCGTCGGCAGCGCGCGCGTCGAACTCTTTACAAAACCTTCACCGACGCGAGGACGCCGTCATCGTCGACGGCGCGAGTAGCATCTGCTCCCGCGCTGACCGCGCCGTCGTCGGCGCGAATATCGTCACCAACGTTGGCGAAGGGCCCAGGCATGTGCAGATGCAAACACCGCACTTGTGAATAACGCCTTCAATGGAGCTCCTCATGGGGCCACGAAACGCGTGACGGGTGTACCGAAGTAGGACCGGGGGCGCCTTCGGTCCCTGCCTCTGGGGCCTTCGGTGGAGCTCCCTATCGGGCACGATGCGTGCGAGGGGGGTACCAAAATAAAATAAGAACCGCATGCGACTATTCCCCCTGCGGGCTTCGGTGGAGCTCCCTGCGGGGCAACGAAGCGTGTGAGGGGTGTGCAGACGTGGGTGAGGAACCGCATGCGAAACCCCCTCCTGGGGGCCTCGGTGGAGCTCCATGTGTGGCCACGAAGCGTGCGAGGGGTGTAGGCACGGGTACCAACCGCATGCGAAACCCGCTACTTGGAGCCTTCGGTGGAGCTCTCTGTGGGGCCACGGAGCGTGCGAGGCGTGTACCAGAGTGGGTAAGAACCACATGCGAAACCTCCGTCCTGAGGCCTGTGGAGCTCCCTTTGAGGCCACGAGACGCGCTTGTGGTTCAAACATATAATTTGGTATTTGCCGCATGTGACACACCCCTCCTGGGAACTTCGGTGGAGCTCCCTGAGGGGCAGCGAAACATGCGACGGGCGCGCCGACACTTATAAGAACCGCATGCAAAGCCCCCGCCTGAAGGCTTCGGTAGAACCCTCTGTGGAGCCACGAAACATGTGAGAGTGTACCAAAATCATTAAGAATCGCATGCGAAACCCCTTTCCTGAGGGGTTCGGTGGAGCCCCCTGTGCGAAGCGCGTAAGGGGTGTCCAAAAATGGAAAGGAACCGCATACGCCCCCCCCCCCCCCATAGGGGGTTTCGGTGGAACTCGCTGTGTGGCCACGAAACGTGTAAGAGATGAGCCAAAGTGTGTAATAACCGCATGAAACATCCCCCTTCTGAGGGCATCGGTGGAGCTCCCTGTGGGGCCACGACATGTTTGAGGGGCGTGAGAGAATGCGCAAGAACGAACCGCATGCGAAACCCCCCACCGAGGCCTTCAATGAAGCTCCTATGAGGCCACCAAGCGTGTGAGGGGTGCGCCGAAATTTGCACGAAGAGGGCAGAGGCAACGATGGGAGGAGGGAGGGAAGAGGAGGAGGAGGAGGCGGAGGAGGAGAGGAGAAGAGGAGACGCGGAGCGATGTCTCGTCAACACGATGACCCAACACCACAGGGAGAGAGAGACACGGCCCGAGATCCACATGCCAACAAAGTGAATGCGGGTGCAATCGAAGAAACATATTGACCGCCTTCACCGCGAGGACGTGGGCGAACCACCCAAGTGGTCGTACCAACCTGGCTTCTCCCATCAGTTCGCCCCACCCTCGCCCTCATCGAATCACACTGTGCGGAACACTCGCGCTGACCTCGCGAGTGCATTCTCAACGAGCCCATACTGGCGGACCTAGGCCAGAAGAGCACCCCTCAAGAGCGCGAGACCCTCCGTCGGCCAAAACACACAGGACATCCCAGGGTACACTCCCCAGAATACACAAGAACATCCAACAAGCACGAAAAACACTACCCCGAGTTTCTTAAGAAGCGTCGGGGGGCGTCACCCCCGCCGACAGCCCCTCATCGACCCCCGTCGCAGGCAGCCGCCGCGCGCCGAAGGCGCTCCGACCCCCGTCGCGGCGCGACGACGAGGCGAGCTTGACCCCCGTCGGGGGGGGTCCCCCCCAAGCTTATTTGAACGGGCGAAGAACGGTGTAAAATAAACTTTTTCGCTGTCGGGGGCGCCTGTCCCAGGGAAGCTGGAAAGTTTATACCCTTACGGTGGCACCGTAGGGGTATAATTTTCCAGCCGCCCAGGGACAGGTCTCTCCGACGGCGGAAAGTTTATGTTATACCGTCCTTCGCTCGCTGATTATTAAGAAGCCCAAAACAGGGTACCCTCCACGAACCGACCTCGATCTTTTGCACCTCGGCCCGACTCTGTTCCGCGGCTTTTGCGTCCGCGGCCGCTCGGGAGCAGACGGCGGGCGAGCGGCGGGGCGCGCCGTTGCACCTGGGGCACGAGAGGGCGGGGGGCACGGGGTGCGCGGGGCCAGGGGGAGCCACCCTCGGACCGTGAAGGCGATAAGCCTCACTCCTCCTCCTCCTCCCTCCTCCTCCTCCATCTCCTCCTTCTCCTCTTCCTCTCCCCCTCCCCCTCCTTCTCCCTCCACCATTCGGGGAGGCGTGAGACTCGGGTCCGGGGGACTCGGGTTGGCCTCACGGGGGCCAGCATGACAATGACGAGACCCAATCTGGAACTTGACGCGAACTCCCGCTGCAAACATCCCACGAACACTGAGCCGTCAGAGTCCCAGGGGCACTCGTCAAAAAAACGCCCGCAAAACCGAGTTCCAGCGTGTTCGAGCCCTACGCTTCCCCGAACCATGCGGCTACCCTCTCTTCCTCTCGGCTTCCTGCTCCTCCTCCTCCTTCTCCTCCTCCTCCTCCTCCTTGTCCCCCTCCTCCCTCCTTCTTCTTCTCCTTCTCCTTCTCCTCCTCCTCCTCCTCCTCCTCCTCCTCCTCCTCCTCCTCCTCCTCCTCCTCCACCTCCACCTCCTCCTCCACCTCCTCCTCCTCCGCCTCCTCCTCCTCCCCCCTCCCTCCCTCCCTCCCTCCCTCCCTCCCTCCCTGCCTCCCTGCCTCCTGCTCCCCTGCCTCCCTCCCCTCCCTCCTCCCTCCTCCCCTCCTCCTCCCTCCTCCCTCCTCGCTCCTCGCTCCTCCCTCCTCCTCCTCCTCCTCCTCCTCCTCCTCCTCCTCCTCCTCCTCCTCCTCCTAATCCTCCTCCTCCTCCTCCTCCTCCTCCTCCTCCTCCTCCTCCTCCTCCTCCTCCTCCTCCTCCTCCTCCTCCCCCCCCTCCTCCTCCTCCGCCTCTCCTCCTCCTCCTCCTCCTCCTCCTCCTCCTCCTCCTCCTCCTCCTCCGCCTCCTCCGCCTCCTCCGCCTCCGCCTCCCGCCTCCGCCTCCGCCTTCTCCCCCTCTTCCTCCTCCTCCTCCTCCTCCTCCTCCTCCTCCTCCTCCTCCTCCTCCTTATCATCATCATCCTCTTTATTTTTCATCTTATTATTATTTTTCTTGTTATTCTTATTATTATTATTATTATTATTATTATTATTATTATTATTATTATTATTATTATTATTATTATTATTATTATATATTATTATTATTATTATTATTATTATTATTATTATTATTATTATTATTATTATTATTATTATTACTATTATTCGTATGCTTCTTTTTAGTATTATTCTTATTTGATTCCCCATATCCTAAGATGGGGTTCTTGTTATTACTTGGACGCCTCCTACTCCCTCTCCCTCCTCCTCTTTCCTCCTCCCCTCCTGCCGGAGTTGCTCATACTCAGACTTGCTCATACCCAGACTTGCTCATACACAGACTTACTCATACTCAGATACTCTCATACTCAGATCTACTCATACTCAGACCTACTCTTACTCAGACATACTCATACTCAGACTTACTCATACTCAGACATACTCATACTCAGGCATATTCATACTCAGACCTACTCATACTCAGACTTACTCATACTCAGACTTACTCATACTCAGACATTCTCATACCCAGACGTACTCATACTCAGACTTACTCACACTCAGACATATCCATACTCAGACTTACTCATACTCAGACTTACTCATACCCAGGCGTACTCATACTCAGACTTACTCATAGTCTGAGACTTACTCAACACACAGCAGATTGTGAGGATGTCTCAGGCGGGGCGCTGGTTTCAGCACCCCTAAGGGGAGCCGCCAGGGGTGGTTGCACGGGCTCGTTCGCGGCCATTTTGTGGGGATGTCTCAGGCGGTTTGCTTGTTTCTGGGCCCAACATCCTTCGCTTGGAGAGCAGATTGTGAGGATGTCTCAGGCGGGGCGCTGGTTTCAGCACCCCTAAGGGGAGCCGCCAGGGGTGTTTGCACGGGCTCGTTCGCGGCCATTGTGTGGGGATGTCTCAGGCGGTTTGCTTGTTTCTGGGCCCAACATCCTTCGCTTTCGGGGCAGATTTGGAGGATGTCTCGAGCGAGGCGCTCATTTTCACCCCCCAGGTGGGCCAGATGTTGAGGATGTCTCGATCGCTTTGCTTGTTTTGGTGGCCAGGCTCGTGGCCCTAAGGGGAGCCGCCAGGGGTGGTTGCACGGGCTCGTTCGCGGCAATTTTGTGGGGATGTCTCAGGCGGTTTGCTTGTTTCTGGGCCCAATATCCTTCGCTTTCGGAGCAGATTTGGAGGATGTCTCGAGCGAGGCGCTCATTCTCACCCCCCAGGTGGACCAGAGTTTGAGGATGTCTCCATCGGTTTGCTTGTTTTCGTGGCCAAGCTCGTGGCCCTAAGGGGAGCCGCCAGGCGTGGTTGCACGGGCTCGTTCGCGGCCATTGTGTGGGGATGTCTCAGGCGGTTTGCTTGTTTCTGGGCTCGACATCCTTCGCTTTCGGAGCAGATTTGGAGGATGTCTCGAGCGAGGCGCTCATTTTCACCCCCCAGGTGGGCCAGATTTTGAGGATGTCTCGATCGGTTTGCTTGTTTTGGTGGCCAGGCTCGTGGGCGCAGATTCTTCTCAGGATGCCACAGGAGGCTCCAACAGGCTCCAGGAGGCCCCAGGAGACCACATGAGGTCCCAGGAGGCATCAGGAGGCCACAGAAAGACTCAAGAGGCCACAGGATGTCCCAAGAGGCTCCAGGAGGCCCCAGGAAGCTCCAGAAGGCCTCAGGAAACCACAGGAGGCCCCAGGAGGCAACAGGAAGCGCCAGGAGGCCTCGGAAGGCAACAGGAGGCCCCGAGAGGCCCCAGGAGCAGGAGGCCTCAGAAGGCAACAGGAGTGGCTCCAATCCCATGTGTTTTACGTATGCTCCTATCGATTGGGCCTTACCTGGAGCACGATTCTTTGATGTTCTACGTATGTTTCTATAGATGGTCCTTCTCCTGTGTACACAATCCTAAATGTTTTACTCATGTTCCTATATGTTGGGCCTCTCCTGGGGCACGAGTCCTTGGTGTTTTACGCGTGTTCCTATAGATTGCCCTTCTCCTGTGGCTCTAATCCGCAATGTTTTATGTACGTCTGTTGCTATAGATTGCGCCTTTCCTGGGGCACGAAACCTTCCTAGGAGGTCCCAGGAGGTCCCAAGAGGCTCCTGGAGACCCCAGGAAGCCCCAGTAGGTTTCAGGAGGCCCCAGGAGGCCCCAGGCTCATGCACAGAGACGCGCTCGTACTACTGAGGCTCATTCACACTCCAATTCATTCGCAGTTAGATTGATGTCCAGACCGTCACAACTGAAGCCCGTTAATATTCGAAGGCTCTTGCGCCTAGACATTCACGGCGGACAGGTCCATGCGAGTAGATGCACATATGGGGAGCTCAACGCAGTGAATAACTATGCGTTTTCTTCTTATGCTTCGTCTTATTCTTCGTCTTCTTCTTCTCCTTCTTGTTCTTCTTCTTCTTCTTCTTCATCCACCTCCTCCTCCTCCTCCTCCTCCTCCTCCTCCTCCTCCTCCTCCTCCTCCTCCTCCTCCTCCTCCTCCTCCCCCGCCTCCTCCCCCTCTTCCTCCTCCTCCTCCTCCTCATCCTCCCCCTCCTCCTCCCCCTCCTCCTCCTCCTCCTCCTCCGCCTCCGCCTCCGCCTCCACATCCTCCTCCTCCTCCTCCTCCCTCATCCTCCTCCCTCCCCCCTCCTCCCTCCCTCCAACTTCCTCCTCCTCCTTCCTCCCTCCTCCTTCCTCATCCCTCCGTCCTCCTTCCTCGGTCCGCCTTCCTCATGCCTCCATCCTCGTTCCTCCTTCCTCCTCCCTCCGTCCTCCATCCTCCTTCTTCCGTCCTCATTCCTCCTTTCTCATTCCTCCTTCCTCCTTCCTCCTTTCCGTCCTTTCCTCCCTCTCCCCTTCCTCCCGCCTCCTCCTCCTCCTCCTCCTCCTCCTCCGCCTCCTCCTCCTCCTTTCTCCCTCCCTCCCCCTCCTCATCCTCATCCGCCCTCCTCCTCCTCCTCCCTCCTCTCCCCTCCTCCTCCTCCTCCTCCTCCTCCTCCTCCTTCCCCCTCATCCTCCTCCTCCACCTCCACCTCCTCCTCCTCCTCCTCCTCCTCCTCACTCCTCCTCCACCTCCTCCTCCTCCTCCTCCTCCTCCTCCTCTCCTCCTCCTCCTCTCCTGCTCCTCCTCCGCCTCCTCCTCCTCCCTCCTCCTCCTCCTCCTCCTCCCCCTCCTCCTCCCTCTTCCTCCTCCCTCCTCCCTCCATCCATCCTCCTCCTCTCCTCCTCCGCCTCCTCCTCCTCCGCTCCTCCGCTCCTCCTCCTCTACTCCTCCTCCTCCGCCTCCTCCTCCTCATCATCATCCTCCCACCTCCCTCTGGCCTCCGCCTCCACCTCCGCCTCCGCCTCCCCCTCCCCCTCCTCCTCGCTCGTCCTCCCCCTCTCCTCCTCCTCCTCCTCCTCCTCCCCTCCTCCTCCTCCTTTTCCCCCTCCCCCCCCCCCCCCTCCTCCTCCTCCTCCTCCTCCTCCTCACTCCTCATCCTCCTCCTCCTCCTCCATCCTCCTCCGCCTCCGCCTCCTCCTCCTCCTCGCTCCTCCTCCTCCTCCCTCCTCCTCCTCCTCCTCCTCCTCGTGAATCATCCTCCCCTCCTCATCCTCATCCTCTCCTCCGCCTCCCTCCTCCTCCTCCTCATCCGCCTCCTCCTCCTCCTCCTCCTCCTCCATCCTCCCTCCTCCTCCTCCTCCTCCTCCTCCTCCCCCCCTCCCCATCCCCCACCCTTCCTCCTCCTCATCCTTCTCCTCTCCTCTACTCCTCCACCTCACCTCCTCCTCCTCCTCCTCCACCGTCCTCCTCCTCCTCCTCCTCCTCCTCCTCCGTCTCCGTCTCCGTCTCCGTGTCTGGTTCCTCCTCCTCTCCCTCTTCCTCCTCCTCTTCCTTCTCCTCCTCCTCATCTTCCTCCTCCTCCTCCTTCTTCTAAGTATTATTATTATCGTTCGTATTATTCATCTTGTTAGTATGTTAGTATTCTTCTTAATTTATTATTATTATTCGTATTCTTCTTCTCTGCGTATTATTAGTATTCATATTCTTAGTTTTCGTATTAGTCTTAGTATTCTTCTTATTAGTATTAATCTTCTTCGCCTGAGTATTATTAGTATTATTATTCTTATTCGTCGTATTTGTCTTATGCGTATTATTATTCGTATTATTATGATTATGATTATTCTTCATAATATTAGTAGTATCATTATTAGTAGTAGTATTATTATTATGATTATTAGTATTATTATCATTATTATTATTATCATTAGTATTATTATCATTAGTATTATTATTATTATTATTATTATTATTATCAATATTATTATTACTACTAATATTAATATTATTAACAGTATTAATATTATTAGTCGTATTCTTATTAGTATTCCTCGTATACGTATTATTCCTCTTCTTCCTCCTCCTCCTCCTCCTCCCCCTCCACCCCCTCTTCCTCCTCCTCCTCATCCTCCTCCTCCTCCTCCTCCTCCTCCTC